AACATGGACGATCTCCAAGTGTTAGACCTTTATTCATACTCAATCTCATGTCAGTGCATGTGAACGATATGATATCAAAAAAAAGGAATGATGCAACATCTCAATAAATCAAATGTCGCTATGACATATATTCACCTCAATCATCACAATTATACGGGTTCAATAAAAAAAACACAACTATATAAAAGAAATGAAGTCAATAAATACATCAGCTATGCTCATATACTTTGGCATTCTCGAATTACAATCTATCATATTATAATAATACATTTTTTGTTTAATAAACACCGGTACTAGTATCAATGCCCGTCACACCATTGGTACTAGACCCCCATCTTTCATCCTTATTGTCTATTTCATTTTTAATCTTTAATTAGGAAAACGTTCTTCAACGTAATCTAAAAGTCTTAATATACCTTAAATACCGAACACATGTCACGAATTCTTAAGATTTTATCTTTTTCTTTCGTAAAACTTCATAATGTTCTCAATATATCAAATATGCATTATTCGTGAGTAAACAAATTTGTGGACACTCATATTATTATATCTCTAGCCTAGACCCAACATTCATTTCAATCTATCATTAAACTCATAATTATTGGTGCCAACTAATATATTAAGTCTCATATTCTTAAATTTTTAAGTCTAGGTTTAAGTCTTAAGTCCTCTAAATATTATAAATTTAATAGTATTCATATTATACTATACAATTAATACTTAATTACATATCTCAACATTAAAAATTAAATTTATGATATGAAACAAATAATAATGTTTGAAACTAAAGCTACTAATTAATTTTAAAACAAAGGTGACAACCATTAAACTCAAAATTGTTGACCACCGAATTTAAAATAAATGTTCATCAATGTAACAATTACACCAAATTTTCTTCTTAAGGGCTTAACCTAAAATTTTCATATCCTTCCAAATTATTAAGAAATCATTAATTTCTTATGTTGTTGCTATTTTTGAATAGCTACTCAATTTTTTTGCAGAAAAAAACACAATTTCAATTGTTTCCACTCCATTAATATAATATTGATATTATTTGATAACCTACCTCTAGTAATGACAAAATGTGCTCCCTTAAATCTTTCCACCCTAAAAGAAGTGACCACACAGTGGTTGATTATTAGTAGACAAAAGTAATGGTATTAATTGATTTTCTTCATCAACAACTATAAAAAGATAACATTAATAAAGAGAGTATTAAACCATAAATCAATCTGATCATTGAAAGACTTAGCCAAAAATCTTACCTGAAGGCAGAGTAATCACATATTCCTCTTGCTATTCGTAATTTGATGCCAAAGAGGATTGTGAGTTTCCATTGATTAATTTTACATCCCCTTTAACTCTAATTTTAATTCATACACGGGCCAAGGGATTAGGATATTAAGTGAATGGAAAATTAGTAAACTAGTCAAAATTCCTAATATAATTATTAAAAATATCTACATTTTAAAAGAATTATTTAAAACATCAATACGTCAATATTTATGTAAATAAAATATATCTTAATACATTTAATTTTCTTTCCTTTTATTTCTCAAATCAATCCCACATTTGAGTCCATTTTGACTCCACTATCACACTAAGCATTATCAACTTCCTCTCCCTCTAGGGTTTTTGTACTCCAAATCTCTCTTTTTTTCTCTCTCTCATGCATTCTTCACCATGTGAAATCTCTCTCTTTCTCTCTCTCATGTGTTCTTCACCATGCGCTATAGAGCAGTCCAAAAAGAAGAAGAATTATGGGTGTTGAAGATGTTGATGAACAAGTTGAAGTTCAAATAGATAAAGAGATCTTATAGAGCATATCTGAGCATCTACATAACCCTATCCGCATGCGAAATCCTCCCCCAGTTCGAAATATGGATATCACCAACAAAAGAAAAATTACATGTACTTCATTTATAACAGCGAAATCAAAATAAGAAAATACAACTTCTTGAACATCAAACTTGTATGTTTATTCATTCTAGTTTTCATGTTGTATTTTATATAATGAAACTTGTATTTCTTTATCAGTTTGTATTCGCTCCAATATGTATACCAAATTGCTTTTTGGATTTTTGATCAACAAGGGGGACAATGCCATGTAGTTTACTTTTGGATTCGTAGCTGATGAGAATTTTAAGTAAATATGTTCATTTTTTAAAATAATTTTTCCCCTAAATTACTCCTTTTGTTATTAAATAATTGTATTCTTTCAATTAAAACAAATAATAAAAATAGAAATCAGATACATAACAAATTAAAATATTGACATTTTAAATAAATATTGAAAGTGTTGCTAAGAAGTTTTATTACATGCTAAAATATTGACATTTTAAATTTTTTTCCGTAAATAAATTATAGAGTTGACCCATTAACCACCAATTAAATTGCATATTTAGAATCTATTTGTTAACTAAATAGTCTTAGTTAAATGAACAGCCTAAAGTTACCAATTTTAATTCACAAAAGAGTTAAAATAGTTATATTTCTCAAAGCAACCTAGCGGATCGTTACAAACGTTTTATACAACATGGGGTGAGGAATAAGTCTTGTGATACAGATATATATTTTATAAATCTACATGCCATATATTTTATGATGTCCAATTTTATAATTTTATTATTAAGAAAATATATAAAAGTAAAACATTCAACAGTTCTAAAAATAAATTTTATGAAATTATCATTAATATAAAAAAATATATTATACTCATCTAGGACATATGCCTTATAAATCTACTCTTTAAACTTGCAATAAGGGTTGGCATGGTATGATGCAGTATTTTAAAGTTTTAATACTGTAATTTTGATATTTGATTTTTAAAAACATTATAATATTACATATCAATTTAATTCAGTATGATTTGATATATTGAAATTTGATTTCGTGTGTGATTGTGAATACCGACCTAAAACCAACTGACCTCAAATGCAAGTCGGTTATTTCCGACCTCTGGAGGTCGGTATTGTTAAAAAGAATAAAAACAACTTTAAAAAATTGACTACACGGAGTCAATTTTTATGCAAAATAAAGCGGGAAAATCAAAGACTGACCTCTTTTTTCCCGAAAAAATGAGTTGCAATAAAACTGTGCTCTTGATGTCGGTACTAAATATAAATAAATAAATAATAATTTTTTTTCAATAAAATATAAAACACAAAACTGAGAAATATTTTGAATTAATTTTATTTAAATCGCCATCCGGAGGGCGATTTGTGTAAATTAAAAATAAAAAAAAATATAATATCGACTTACGAAAGACGGAAAAACTAAATAGTATGTAATTAAATTGATTTTCATTAAAATATTATAATAATTTCTAGAAGTTAATGAATTAATATTTTCAATTAACTTTAAATAAATCGTCCTCCGGATGATGGTTTTAGATAAGTTAAAAAATAAATTAACATATAATACCGACTTTCTAATGTCAATATTGTTTAATTAACATGAGATTTCTTATTAATCTTAAAATTTGATGTGATATTGATATCATGAGGTATGTATTTTTTATTGAATCTAATTACTTTTAATAAAAGCGATATCCATAGGTTGGTTTGTTTAATATATTTCTAGTAATCATAATTTTGCTATTGTACGTAATACTAAATTTTCATCTTACACCTTCAACTAATTGTTTGAAAAAGTATAACAATTTTGTATACTTTTGAATAAAAAGTTAGAATTTGTGGAATAAACAAGATAACATCGATAATTCATATTTAGAGTATAAAATTAGGTTGATATGAATTAGCAAATAGTTATACTTATATTTAGAAAGTAATGTACAAATTCTCTCAGTTTTTCGTCAAATGATCAAAGCAGGGACCATTTATTAGAAATAAAAGGAACAAACATATCATGTCATGATCTTGTCCCAAAACAAACTACTTTGTCCAAAATCAAAATACAGAAATGAACAACCAAAAGAGTTGGTCGTCTTTGAGCTTGAACTTCCATGGAGGATGAAGAGAAGGTGCTGCCTTGGAGTGAAATCCATCACATGCAGCAACCAAATTTGCATTTTGCATTTTTTAGATTCTCAAATTTGCAATTTTCTCTATGGTCCGAGAAATCGACCTCTCCATTGAAGGTAGTAGTGAGAAGAGGATAGAAGATAGTTCAAATGCCTCCAATATATAGACATAGATTGTAGTGGATCCGAATTAGGACAAATTTCATTGGAGACACTCATATAATCATGTAGAAGTGAAGAACCAACCTATAATCTATTCGAGTATAAATGCGAGATAATACTTGTAGAAACGTCATGATAACTATTTATTAATTTTATATTTATAATTAGTTGTTTAATTATTTGTACGTATAACCTTCAATGTCTTCTCTCGTTTTATGAAACAGATTATAAAACACCGTGTATCATTGTACAAAGCAAGTTCGATTAAGATTATTATGTTCGATCTTGAATGGTTGTTAAGTGTAGTGACCATATCGTAGAATATGGACATGTAAAAGATAATTCTTCGTAGTGTGAAATACATTAATTATATACTCCTTGAGTAGTTTAACAAATCAAGTCTTATAGATTAGTGGTTCAGATATGAAATATGTTATCAATTAAAGAAGAGATATCGATGTTCAATTTAAGGAGATTTATATATTGATATCGATAAACTTCTATCAATCGATAAAATTAAATTTATATAATTAAAAGATATATAATTTAAATTTATAACATTAAATTTACGTTGATGTAGTTAAATTAAATTTATTATAAATATATATAATTTTAATTAATATATTCGACCTCTTAAGGTGAGTTTATATTAAAATTGATATGTTTAATTATTATTTTATTTAAATAATATCAACTTCATTATGTCCATATTTATTTGGAATAAAATGTTTATAAATATAAATAATTATTTTAAAAAAGAATGATAATCTCTAAAAAAAAAAATATCAACTTCATTATGTCCATATTTATTTGGAATAAAATGTTTATAAATATAAATAATTATTTTAAAAAAGAATGATAATCTCTAAAAAAAAAACCTTTTAAGTTTTAAGTCTCTCTTTCCCTTCTAAACCTCTCTCACGCCCACCCATACTCGACCCAACCCCGACCGGCGCTGCCTCGATCAGCAGCAGCAGGAGGTCGCGCTACCTTCCCTGACTCGATCGTCAGCAAGTCGCAGCAGCAGCAGCAAACTTCGGCAGCAGCAACAGAAAACTCTGGTAGCAGCACAAACTCCGGCAGATTAGGTAATGTAATCAAGCTCTTCTATTGTATCTTTTTATAGGGTTGGATTATATTATTAGTAGTATGTATAACTGGCGTTTGAATAAAATCAAAAAATAAGTGTCATCAATAGGTTGGGTTGGACAGATTGAAGGGGTCATTTAATTGAGTTTGGTTGTTGTTCAATGTGGATCCTTCGATTGAGTTTATACACATTAAAATTTGAACACTTTAATGTGTTCAATTGAGTTTGGTTGTTGACATGTTCTCTTTGATTTACTGTCAAGTGCCAAACTTTCCCCATAAGGATGTAGATTTTGGCAAGTTGGACAGTCAATATATTGAAAACGGTAAGAGAATGTTAAGTGCATGTTGAATTTGTGTCTAAACCAGTATGCTGTTGTTACATATTATCTATGTTTCAGTTGCTCTAATAAACTAACCAATACAACACATTCCCATATCATCATATACAATTCTACCTTCCCAATATTGGACAGATATACCAATAACATGTGTATGCCTTACAATTTGATGTCAATATTGATTTATAATACTGATTGTACTTTAGAGATCTCATATATGTACAACTATGAACTGAAAACTTGTGTTTGTGCATGGAATAAAGGAGTCTGCAAATACTTCAAGGTGTTGTAAACTCAGACTAAAGCACTGAATGGATTTGACTACATACTTCAATTGCATTAGTATTGCTTCTAGTAAAGTATAGCATCCAGTTGAATCAACTACAGTCTAAATGTAATAATCTGAAATTTGATGCAATATGAAGAGACTAAAGTTACAACTACAGTTTGGTTGTTGTTTATATACATTAAAATTTGAACATTCTTGTTGGAATTCTTGGTTTCTTAACCCCGGACACAATCATGGTAACATATACATTACAATAACTAGTGGAAAAAAGAGAGGAAGTATTGAAAATAGGAGAAACCTATTTTGAGTTATCAAGAAAAAGAAAAAACAACACAAACTTGTTTACTAACTGTCAAACGCTAATAATCACTAAAATCTCTCTATAATGACCACTAAAGAAATTTTCAATTGTTTCTTTTCGTGGTAGGCAACTAAGGAAACTCAACGTCTAAAAAAGTTGATACAAGACTATATTGCTACTTTAATTATAAGGTTTGGTGTTTCTAAATTTCTAAAGTTCAAGTACAATTGTTTTTTATGATGTGTTTGTGTCCATCTAGTGTTGATATTAAGCTTTAATTTAAGAATAATGTGTTTGTTAAGCATAAGCACTAACATTAGTTGATTCTATTTTCTTTTTTTTTGCAAGATCAGTTTGTATCCATCTAGTGTTGATCTCAAATTTTAATTTAGGAATAATGTGTTTGTTAAGCATAAGTACCGATATGATATTTTAAATATCAAATACAAAAAAATTAAAAGATATATCAATATACAATGATATCAAAATCATGATATTAAAAATTTTGATATAGTATGATATTTTGATATATACCATACCATGTAAACTCCTAATTTGCGCCTCAAAGCATTTCTTGAACACTCAAATACTTGTCACAAAAATGCCTTTGAAAACACTGATTTAAAGAAGATACCATGAAAAATTCAATTGGTCCATAAATTCTGTAAATTCCCAAATAAGCCTTTTGACCTCAAGATCCTCTCTATTCACTCTTATGATATAGACTAGTTACAAAGAGCCCGTTCAATTGTGCAAGCACAAATTAAATATACATAACTTTATTTATCTCAATAAATTTTTATGTGAGTTTTAAATGTTATAAGTTGTTTAATTGTTGTAATTTATAATTTTTTTTATGTAATTTACAAATAATATATATAAATTTGTCTCAGTTTATGTGGTACAAGTGAAATTTAAAGAGTCAATTGATTTAAATTTCAAATTATTAATTATTATCATCATTTATAATACTATGTCTTTTGTAATTTCTAAACACATAACATACGAAAAAGAAAAATAAAACAAATTGAAAACTTTAAATATAAATCGAGAAAATCTTTATTTATAGTACAATTTTTTAATACATAACATACTAAATAAATGAAAACAAAGAAAACACACTACATATAAATAGTAGAGGAAATTCAATGAGAGTGTAAAAGTCACAACTCAAGTACATAGGGTTCATCAAGAATTGGTTCAAAACAAAGTGCGGATTCACTCAATCCCACATCAATCTCTATCTTCTAACCTCCAAGGTATTTTTCTCTAGTAAGTTTCTCCGTACCCTTGTTTTTTTTGGTTGTTAATTGCAATTACTCAAAGAACTTTGAATTGTTATCAAAATATTGAAGTTGGGGAATTAATTTTTGTTTAGTTAGAGGAATCTTATTGTAAGTATGTTTTGTTGACTTGAGAAAATCATTGGGATGGTGAAAGTTTTGACTTTTATCTAGTAGGGGAAAGAGAGTTCCGAGAATATTTCTAATTTTATGAATGCGAGAATTAATCTGTTAGTGTTTCTTTGTTTACTTGTTAGAATGAAGAGCATTTTCAAATTCCTTTTATCAACGAAAACCTCTGTCTTTTGTAGTCTCAATTGTTTTTTTTTACGTCTAGTTTCCTTGTACAAATATTATATGCATTTTCTTTATCAATGAAGCTTCCTCTCTTCATTTTTCCAAATCGTATTTCTACATTAACACCTAGCTTCCTAGCATTAATTTTTACTTGTGTCACTTAGATTAATACAACTACTTGAATCTTTAATCATCTACATCAGTTAAAATTATCTAGCTTAAGCACTTAAATCCCACCTAGTTTGAATTTGTAGGGAACCTAGTTGTGAACCTTGTATGATGCCTATTACTTTTCTTTTGAGGTGATTTGAACTCTTAATGATCTCAGGTTGTGGAGACTAGTAAATTGAATTATTTGCAATTAGTTGTAGTAATAGGTTCCCTAATGCGCAAGAGGGGTGTTGGAATGAAGTGGATTGAGAACCCTAAGGTCGTTGCTTCAAATCCCAGTAGAGACAAAAAATAAGGTGATTTCATCCCATTTGTGGACGTTACCTAGTACCTCTTGGTAAGAGGTACATGTATCCCATGGAATTAATTGGCCCGGACACCACAATTATATTAAAAAAATTAGGGTGTTCTAACACACCTTAACCCAGTAGGTGATAACTCTTCTCTTTAGCTCATTAAAAGAGTTGTCACATGTTGAAGCCCGCTTTTGCGAGAAAATGGGGCGTGACACACTTAGGGGGAAAAGTGAAGCATAGAAATAGCAAAGGACTAGGTACATATTGGAAAATAGTGCATGTAGTAAGGATGTGTAATGCAAGGAACTCAGAACACCTACATACAGTATCTTGTACTAATACTGAGTTTGTACAATTAGTTTCTCAAGTATCTGGTTATCTTATTAAGAGTTGGTATTATATCTAACAGGGAAATGAACACGGAAGAAAAAAGATTTAATCAAGAAGAGGAGGATGAGGAAGAAAATGGGAGAGGTCGAGAAGCATGGGAAAGAACTTATGCAGATGAAAGATCATGGGAGTCTTTACAAGAGGATGAATCAGGACTCCTTCGTCCAATTGACAACAAAACTCTATCCCATGCTCAGTATCGACGACGTCTCCGCACTGCAACTGCTGCACGAATTCAGAAGGGTTTGATTCGGTACCTCTACATTATCATTGATTTCTCCAGGGTATGTAAAATCCTGTATGATTGCAAAATAACTGCAGTATTGTAATTGGTTACTGACATTTAAAGGTTAATTTTTTTTTTTTTGCAAAATATGAAACAATTATTTAAGCATCTATAGTTATCTGTTTGTAAATGAGTTATCTCCGGAAGAAGTTAATCAGGTCCAATTTCCCAGACAATCTGCTGATCTTCTTCTGATGCTAGCAAATTGTTTCTTATGAAGGAACACAACAGGGTCCTTTTTAAAGAACCAGCAGCTCTTTGTTTTATGGATTTCTATTTGCATCTAGGGCTGAAGATTTAGTGATTGCAACTGGTTGATTATGCTATAAGATATTGATAAAACTAAGCAATTGGGTCGTCTTCGATCAGTTTAATGAATATTCAAGTGTATACCTACTTTCTGTTTTGATGTCACCATATTTCTTTAAACCACGTTTTGAAATTCTAAAATTGTGAATTGAGTTTATAAGACAATTATTGCATTTTGAAAATGTCCCTTAATTGGGTTGTGCTTATCACTGCATTGGACGTTTTCTTTTATCATTGACAAGGTGCTTTAACAGACAATCTTAAACATTTGCATGTAAGCCTCTGGCTGATAGTTCTCCTTTCAAGATGTCAGCATCCTTTTCCGTGACATTTTCCTAGTTTTCTTTTTTTCGCATTGCTCGAAAGTTTTTGTGAGCATTGGTTGCATCTACTTGATACTTTTCCTACATGCTTATATTCCGCAACACCCACGCCAACTTGGAAAGCTAGAAGAAAAATCAAAATGCTTTGAATACTAGAAATCTCGACATAATAGTAGAGACTTTTAGCGTTCATTTCAATTAAGTCTGGATGACTTTAAAAATGACTTTTTGAAAGAGAGAGAGAGACAGTAATGTCTCATAATATCTTGGACTTTTACATCTTTTGAGTTTGTAATTGCTCACCTGAATTTTGAATTTTAGGCAGCTGCAGAAATGGATTATAAACCAAGCCGAATGGTTGTAGTTGCTAGACAAGTGGAGGCTTATATAAGAGAATTTTTTGACCAGAATCCCCTGAGTCAAATTGGCTTGGTGATCTTGAAAGATGGAGTAGCTCATTGCTTAACAGATCTTGGTGGCAGTCCCGAGGCTCATATCAAGGCATTGATGGGTAAATTGGGGACCTCTGGTGATGCATCCCTTCAGAATGGCCTAGATCTTGTGTGTGATCTCCTAAATCAAATCCCATCGTATGGTCATCGTGAAGCCCTTATCTTGTATTCAGCTCTTAGCACATGTGATCCGGGGGATATACTGGAAACCATCCAAAAATGCAAAGCGTCCAAGATAAGGTGCTCAGTAATTGGTCTCTCTGCAGAACTCTACATATGCAAGCATCTCTGCCAAGAGACTGGTGGAATGTATTTTGTTGCATTGGATGAGGTAAGGAATTGAGCTCTGAAGTAGTGGTAATACCAGAACTTGTGAAACAAAAACTAATAGAATAAGGAAATCTTTTGCTGGAAATTTAGGATAAATTTGGTTCTAATAGCCTACTATGTAAAATGTCTCATTGAATGATATGATTAATAATATGTGGCAAGCATAATATTGTTAAAACGTTTTATGATTTGATTCGTTGTTATTGCTCTGTCAGCCTCATTTAAAAGAGTTGGTATTGGAGCATGCCCCACCTCCTCCAGCTATTGCAGAGTTCGCTGTTGCAAATTTGATTAAGATGGGGTTCCCCCAAAGAACAGCAGAGGGTGTCATTTCAATTTGTTCATGTCATAAAGAGGCTAAAGTTGGTGGTGGATACACTTGTCCGAGATGCAAAGCGCGCATATGTGAGCTGCCTACTGAGTGTTGCATTTGCGGACTGACCCTTGTATCTTCTCCACATTTGGCAAGGTCATATCACCATCTCTTCCCAATAAGGCCATTTGATGACGTTTCACCCTCAGCTCTGAAAGATTTTCACAAGTTACCAAAGAATTGCTTTGGTTGCCAACTGAGTCTTCTAAATCCTGGTAAGAGCACTCTTCTTATTTACAAAATCGAAACTATCTTGAGGTAAAATATTTATGCCGAAAAACAAGGAAATCTGTCTTATTTTTTTACTCTTCAAGATTATTCTATAAATAACCACTGAAGTGAATCTGCGATCCAATGAAGCACTTGGTCACACAATATATTTGTAAAAACGACTTGCAATTTTTTGGTTCAGAATTGAAACTTCCAGTGGTAAAAAAGATTCATGCCAAAATGATGGAATATGTCTCTCTGTTTGCTGTCAAGACTGCATCGTAAGTAACCTTTAGAGTGAATCTGGGACCCAAAGAAGCACCTGAGCTGGTATTCCTTATCAAAATAAATAAATAAAAATGGAACACCTGAGATTTGCATTTTCTTTTGAAACTGGTAACATTGTATTCCTCAGCATCCTTAATGCTGGCCATCAGTTTTGCAGATATTATCATTATCTATGTATATGCTAGGATGTTCGATAATTTGATAATTTTCAAGTAGAGTAGTTTATCAGATTAACCGTGGGTACATAACCCTGACCTGAAGCATCTGCTGTTGCTAAGGATGTCAATGAAGTTCCTTTCTTTCTTTTTTTTTTTTGAATTGGTAAAAGTTGTGTTCATCAGCATTCAGGGCTATGCTGGCCTCCTCCAAAATTTACAAAAGAGTCATGGATAGTTACAAGAAATAATATAAAATCCACTAATTGGATTTCTTCTATATTCTGTTCTTTACGCCAAAAATCTAAAGTAGTATGAAGTTCCTTTCTTTAAGTTCATAGCTGCAGAGAACTGTAGAAGGCATTTACATAATTGTTTGTCATCTGAGATATCTTGTATGTGCATTTTTCCGATTTGTAAAGAACGAACGAAAGAAAAAACACGCACTAATCGTAACTGAGCTTTTGCTGAACTGAAGCAAAAGAAATGTCTCTAGTGTTCTACAGAAGAAACAAGATGTTTAGTTTCTAGAGCTTAAATTATTCACGTCCAAGATAATAAGTCTTTTGTGTTACAATTCTGTGCTTCTCGCTGGTTGTATCTAATTATGTCCTTTGAGGACTGTTTTGAGGCAAAACTTCAAAGCAATGTTGAAATTTGGTCTTTTAAGGAAGTAGCCTGTTGAACTAAGTGTTTGTATTCAGTCAGATTTTTTTTTTTGCCAAATTTCTTGTAACTTGTGATGATATTAGGAAATTATTCTGTAAAATGAGTTGTTCTTGGACCAAACATTAATTGGGATCATAAAATCTGGAAAGGAAGCAATTTGTCTCTTCTTAATGCAAGTCCTAATTCATAGACAACCACTTAAAGTTCCTGCGGCTTTTCATTTAGACACCTTAATTGAAGCTGTTACGCAGCAAACACCTAGGGTGTGTTCGGTATGATGGAAAGTGTTTTCTTAGAAAATGTTTTCTAGGAAAATAAGTGGACTTCTTACTTTTTTTTAGATGAAGTAATTGATTCAATTCATATCGTCAAAAAGATGCAAAGTAGTTACAGAAGAGTGAGTGTGTTCGGTACGCAGGCAGAATTTTTTATCCGAAAAGCATTTGTATATAATTTGAACAATACTATGAGAGGTGAAGGTGAAGGGTAGGGTGTGCGGGGTGGTGGGTATGGGGGCTACAAGGGTGATGCTGAAGATGAGGTGTGTTGGTAAGTAGGAAGGACACTATCAATGTGGAATCTCACTTGTGTAACTTGTTTACATTTTCCAAACAATGTGTTCGTCCATACCGAACAAACCCCCTAATGAGTAATGTATATCTAAAATGTGCCTATTGAACACGTCATGCTTAGCTAGTAAAAAATAAAATGTGTGAGCTTACATGTGAGGATGTGGCAAATTAGCAAATTGAACAAAACCACGTGACTTTAGAATCCAACTAATAAAAAAAGGAAAAAGAAAACACTAGTTTTTGTATTCAGCCTGAATGTTTTTTTTTCCGCCAAAGTTCTACTCACTTTTTTCTGAATCAGTCGATAGTATTAATTGAATTAGAGCAAATTTCAATAGTTCTGAAACAAGCTTCCACCACATCAGAACTTACAAAAAAGAACAGGCACTACTACTATAGCAGAAATATATACTCTACAGGAACCAATTAATAATGATGATGGAGATGTATTGCGGCCTTTTCCTGTTCATCAACTCAAACCTCATGCTAATTACACCATAGTTTAACCACCACACCAAGCAGAATCCCATATCCTTTACCAACATTAACATAACTGCTCTTCTTTTCTTGACAGCAAGACTTTTTCAGACAATTCAAAACTCAGAACCAAACCTCCCCTCAACCCCCAAAACCACAAAAAGTCCTGTTCTGTCTCTTGAGAGCATCCCGACAACATCCATAGCAGTCACCCTCTTCCTACGAGCATGCTCAGTATAAGTAACAGAATCATGAATCACATTCTCCAAGAAGATCTGAGCACCCCCTAGTCTCCTCATAGATTAGCTCACTGATACACTTCACTGCCCCTCTACATGCCAAATGCCTAATGGCTGACTTTGTGATTCAGTGAATGTTATCACAGAGGACCTTACAGTGAGTGTTAGGAATGCGTTGGAAGTTATTAATTCAAGTATTTAATTATTTATTTAGTGGCTTTATTTATTATTCTAGAATAGGGTTTATACTTCATAGTTTTATAAGGATTAGGTTAAGTTATAGTTATTAGTTTGGAATAGGATTTAGGTCTCCTACTTTAATAAGAATTAGAATTACTACTGATGTAATAAGACTCCTATTTAAAGGGGCTTTGGATGAATAAATCAGTAAGTCATAATTCAACAGAAATTTAAGAGATCAGAGTTCTCGCTTATAATGAATTCTAAGGTTTCAGTCTCCCTTTAACGAGCTGATTTATATATTGCCCTGTGAATGGATCCTTCCCTAAATATTCATAACAATGAGCCTTGCTCCTCCCTTCCCACGACCTGACATGTTCAGTCAACCTTTAGTTTCTCTGAAATTGGAAGCTTCTGAATTTTTAAGACTGTAAGGGAGACGATGATGAAGACAAATTTCTTGTAACTTGTGTGATGAATTAGGAAATTATTTTGTAAAATGAGTTGTGCTTGGACGGCACATGCTTGGGATAATAAAACCTGGAAAGGAAGCAGTTTATCTCTTCTTAATGCAAGTGCAAGTACCTAGACAACCTCTTACAGTTGCCGTGGCCTTTTATTTACACATCTTAATTGAAGCCGTTATCCATCAAACACCTAATTTATGTCTAAAATGTGCCTATTGAACACGTCATGCCTAGTTAGTAAAAATTAAATGCATGAGTTCACAAGTGATGATGTGGTAAAATGGAAAGTCGAACAAAGTCATGTAGATTTTGAATTCGACTAATTGAAAATGGAAAAAGAAACACTATCTTTAGAAAAAAAAACCTCCCACCTTGTCATCTTCCCAACCTCATCCTTCACTTGTCTGATTTCTCTCCAGTTCATTCCTCCATTTTCTTCCTTACCCATGAAAATCTCTCCATAAATTTGCTCTCGAAATACCTCAAAAAAAATAATAAATTAGAAATACGTCACTCTATTTTAAACAACACTAATCATGCCTATAAATATCAAGTCATCCCTACCTTACTCAGCTGCCCAACAGTACAACTAAACCTCAGTCCCAAGCAAGTTGCGGTCGGCTATAGAAATCCTCACTAACCATATTACTGCAGTTAAACCATCTCAGACCAACATTATATAAAGTAATAATAATAAAATAAAGCAATATAAAAAGTACTAGAAGTTCTCTATCTTTGCTACTGTCATATAAATTTCTGAAACGATAAACAACTCCGATTAAAGTATAGGTCTTAGGACATAAAGTAAAAGTGTTGGCATGATTGGAACATATTCTTAATTAATAAGTATCTCCTACATACATCTTTTTCTTTCATTGTGCCCTATCTTTCACTAAACCTTGCATGAACCTCACTAGATAGTAAGTCTTTCATACAACTTCCTTCCAAGCGATTTAGGTACCTCTTCCCTTTTTATTACTTTCTCTCACCACATATCTACAAACCGGTGGATTTGAAGTTCGATGCAAAACATAAACATGCCATCTCAAGTGACCTCTTATTTTTTCCTCGATGTGTGCTACTTGAACCTTCTTGTGAATGCAATTGTTTCTAATCTTGTCTAGTCTTGTGTGACTGCCCGTCCATCTTAGGATCTTCATTTCCACGCCACTCATCTTGATGCTTTACTTTAGAAATCCAACTATAGAGTTGTCTTTTCTCAGGCAAAGTTATATAAACCACGTTTCAAGGCTACAAAATCACCAATTGTCAATGGATGCTTTGTTAGACTGAACTAATGAGGTTCATCATCTTCTTTTTCTTCTACTTGTTCATGGGTTGCTGTCCCCTTGGTTTCGGTAGATTCAACTGTTGATACAATAGTGGGTGTCAGGGGTTTTGCTTGAAATTGGAAGGCCGTCAATCTGTGGGGTTGGAATGGCGTAGTGAATCACCATTCACTACACTGGGTATGTTGTTGTTGAATGGTGTAGTGAATCACAATTTGCTACAACGAGGTATGTTGTTATTGTTGAATGGTTTAGTGAATTTGCACTGGGTATGTTTTTGTTGTTGTTGAATGGTGTAGTGAATGGATGATGTGCTGTAGTAGTAAAAGCTGGGTGTTCTATTTATTAATGGTGTTCTCTCCATCGATGAGTTTTGGTTTCTGATGGTATTACTCTTATTGGAAACTGAAGGATGCTAGTTGGTATTTTTCGCTGGTGGGATTCTATTTAGGAGGGAGAGTTGATGGCTGCGGTGGTTTTTGGTGATTGGTAGTATGTTCAAACTGATGTGGGGAGGTGGTGGCAGCATCAGAGAGGAGCTGGAGGAGAAAGAAGAAAGAAATAAAAAAAGTATATTACATTACAATTCATGAGCTCAAAATTGTGAAAGTCACTCATTCTGCCACATTTCTGTGAGGTGTTCAAACTTAAAACGTCATATTTTGGATATGCGTTAAGTTGTCTAAAAGACAATAACCTCAATCGAGGTGAAGTCGTGGCTACATTAAGATTTAAGGGGGATGTCCATGTGTTTGGCCTAATTCAAACTTAATATACAGGAGTCTCACTTTTTGGTTGTTCCACTTTTCTTATTATGCATCAAGATATTCTCACTTTTTGCTTGTTTCCCTTTGCTCTTCATTCATCAGGATATTCTCACATTTTGCTTGTTTCACTTTTTTCTTTATTTGATTTGATGCAGGAAATTTGCCAGGTCCGCAGGTTGCTTGTCCAAACTGCAAACAACACTTCTGCCTTGATTGTGATATTTATATACATGAGAGCTTGCACAATTGTCCAGGTTGTGAGAGCTTAAGGAATTCCAAGACCATTAGTGATATGGAAGAATGATAAGGATGTATATTTCTGAAGTGGTTTGTTCCTCAAACGGAACAAGCTAAATGGCAAAATGTAATGTTATGTTGGATGTCCTTTCCAAGTACCAGAAATCTTGTTTTACAGCATGTCGTGACGAAAAGTCAAGCTGGCTGCTTTCATAGGATTTTTACTGTTGGATCCAAGCCAATTTTTATGGAACAGCTATGGGAGACACCACTACTAATCTCAAAGGTAAAACTTCTATGGTCTAATCCAACGATTTGTAGCAATGCAGGATCACGGCATACTGTATATCATTCATATGTCACAAACAGATTGTTGTTTCTTTGTACCCTCAAATTCTGACTTAAAAAGAAGAAAAAAAGGAAGACAGTGATAAGATGTGTTTTACCTTTGAGCCTCAGGATTTTGACATTTATTTATGGGACAATCCATTGGTGAAATCACTTTTTAGTGCATTTCAAAGGGTAGAGGCCTTTACTACGGGTAGATGAGTATAATTTATCAGCGATTGTTAAGCCAAGAGATATGTTCAGGACACTTAACATTACATTAGCTCTTATGATATGTTATGGCCATGCCACCACCGAGAATGACACTTTTGCTGGAATACCGATGCTGGTTTTTGCATACTATAAGTTGATTTAAATCAAGCACACTCGAGCCTGCATCGGTTTTATTGGGTTCAATTCAATTTTTGTTGTTCAGTTTCAGCTCAGTTATTTGGTATGGACTGGTATGCAGGGATTCGAAATCAAGTTAGTATTTATAAATTTACTTTTGATAATTGTGATATTCAAGTTCACAGTGCTTGATAACAGTGACTTGCTGGATTACACAAGATGCCATTGAATTTGCTTGTGAAAAATACATTTATGCTATGTTGATATTGGGCTTCATTCTGTGTTTTCCTTTTCCCTTACTTGGTCTCTCTAGTTCACTTTTATCTTTTATGATTATTAGTGAAAAGGGGGATAGGTCAGTACTTTGCCCCTCTACTATTGAAAATTTTAAAATATTATATATATATATATATATATATATATATATATATATATATATATATATATATATATATATATATATA